GTTCTATATATAAAAAATATATATATAATATTGAACCTGAACATGTTCATAAACTTTGAACTGAACCTAAACTGAACCAAATTTTAAGTTCAAGTTCAGTTCAGGTTCATAAATTTTAAGTTCAGTTTAGGTTCATGTTCAATGATTTGCAAAATTTGAGGTTCAGTTTAGGTTCAATGAACTTGGTTTATGAACCTAAATTGAATTGAACTGAACCTAGGAACACTACTTGGATTCATAGGTGGTTTACAGCTGGTATACAAAATACATAGCTTGTTGAGTCAATAAACAAGCATATACATAATAAAGTTGATCATATTATATTATTATATAAATTGTTAATTAGCATTAAAGATTACATCAAAAATGAGGAACATTTTGAAAAGTTTGAAGTTGAACAAAATTCTTTACCTACAGTCAGTATGCTAATGCTAAATGAAAGATTCTTCGGTCAAGTAGATAATATTATTAAAAGCTTTTTAATTCCTATAATACTTAGGAAACAAAGATCTCAAATGAATCAATCTGTATGCTATGATATTACTCGAGTTACAGAGTGGCATCATTTGATAGAAATAAGTAATTTTACTAGAATTAGTTATGATATGTATAATTAGTAGTACTGTATTAGAATTATAAGACTAGAATTTTAACAAAGTAATACAATAGAAGTAATCTATTTGTATAAGACTAAATGTTATTAGGTTAATGAAAATTTAACTATTAATATATGTTTAAAATAATTTTAATAAATTAATTCTGTATTCTTAATTATTATAGTCAGAAGATGATGATGAAGAAATAAGTATTGGAATTAAAGAACAAGAGCAGGATATGCAACAGATTCTTTTTAGTTTTCTAGTTAAAAATATACCTTAAGAAATAATCTTAGAAATATGAAATATACATGCAACTGGAATCCAAGAAGTAGGACACTATGTAATTTTGCTTAATGAAGGTATACATTTATATATCTGTCTTCTTTTAATCAATAAGGGATTAGTGTGTCATCATTTTTTCTGTATTGGTACCTATTCAAAATTTGCTACCTTTCATATAATTATAATTCCAAATCGATGATACTTGGATCCTGATATTAAACCAATTGATCTTCTACAACAGTATCTGTCTATTTTAGTATGTAATGTAATACAATTAGAAAAAAATATATTATTCAAACAAAGCATCAGTTTTCAACATTTTTTATCTATTCGAACTGATTCACATAGTTCTCATTCAACTATAAAATCACCTAAAACTGTATATGCAGAATTAGTTAGGTTATCAAAGAAGGCTATCGATTGTACTATTAAGACAGATATACAATATGAATTATCAAATATTTTTAAATCCTTTATTTATGACATCCAGAATAAGGTAGACAAACTAGTTTCAGAAAATTTAACTGATGTTAATAATCCTATTGTTATCAAACATAAAGAATAGCCTCCAAAAAGATTAAAGGTGAATGTTAAAAAAAGTTTACATAAGGAAAAGGAAGTTCTGTTAGATAATACATATATTAATGTAATTGAAGATGATACTTCAAATAGTGTAGAAAACTTAAGCGATACAAAAGGTCAGAAATGTGGAAAGTGTAAGCAATATGGGCATTATGCAAAAACATGTCAAAATGTTATTTAGAGTTGCTATGTTATAAGTAACATTTATTCATTGTATATTAATTCATTGACAAAATTAAGTCATGTTACATTCAAAATTAGGATTAGGGTTGGTTAGAATAAGAATTAAATAAGAGTTGGTGTTAAATTCTTTCTTTGTATTTTATGTTTTTTACTTCACTAGGTCAATTCATGTTTGATTAAAATTCTTATTTAGTTAGGTGATCATATGTTTGAAGGATTAATAAGATAAGATTGCATTTTGATTACCTAATCAGTTTTTAATTTTCTAATATGTATCTAAGATGAATATCGTAAAATGCTCACACAAATACCCAACTTTTTTCATTGACTAAAATATCAGAGGACATGTTATTTTAAAGTGCGTTATATATAGTGACACCATCGAACTAGCGTCAGTGTGTTGGTCGCTTCTCAAACAGATACGTCATGTAACCTACGAATGGCTTACTCGAAAGAGGCAGTTAGATTTGGACGAGTGGATAGTTTATGATTGTAGGTTTTATTAAAACGACAGTAGGATATTATTATTAGGTGATGAATTTTATGGTAAGCACTAACTGAACTGTTCTTGGAGGGCTCGAAGCCTTTATTATATACTTTCATTTACATAGAACACATTATACCCTTTATTCGTGATATACCGCCTATACTACGTATAACGTTTATGCTAATTATACTGATGATAATGTGTATACTGCCGGGAAGCCCATTTTAGGTAGGTGATTGGCATAGCCATTAATTCGTTACACCGATCACAAGCTTCCGGCACCACCATCCTACTGCTCACAATAGTTTAAAAAAATTACTGCTAGACATTTTGGCCAATACACTATTTTGATAAACGTTTGATATATTTATACATACCTACTGCTAGTAGTTAGGGTAAGGGTGTTTCTTATAAATACTTTGTATATTAATGTGTTAGTATAATAGAGCGAAGCGGAGCCGACAGGCGTAGCGAAGTGAATAGTGAGGCTATTTAGAGCTAGTAATTTTTGCATAGTTGTATTTGTTTTATATCTCGAAAATTATCTTTGTTGAATTTATTATAAATATAGTTACATCACGTGAGCGTGTTTGTACACTATGTGTACAAATAGAAGTTGCCTTTTGAAATATATAGCTTTATAAATATTTGATTTTTATATGATCACATAAATAAAAAATATTAAAAATGGGACACATTAAAATAAATAGCCAATCAAATTGGTTTAAATTTTTTAACCAATTAATTTTAAAAAATTTGGCCAATCAAAATTAAGTAACTTTAAAAACAACGAATTAAAGTCTTAAAATTAAAAATTTTAAAAATGGGACAAATATAGTCTTTAAGTGTCGCTGCAGCACCTTACCACTACACTCTAATTTAATTTTAAATCTAACCCTAACTTAAGTTTAGAAACCAACATAATACGACACTCTCCCAACATAATTATCTCTGGTGAATGCTGAATAAATTTAAAAATGTATATACGTTACATAGAAGTTCTGGCTTTAAATTATTCTTCACGTGATTATGGTAATAACAGAACTTCACGTGATACAATATTATGTAGTCAAAAGTTACATAGATCGCCGAAAAGAACGAAATCGAAATATATACTTGATCAATGGCCGCGACAACAGCTTCAACGACCGGATCTACTTTATGGGATGATGCACATCCAACTACGAATCCACAAAGATCTGGAGGATTTCCTTATACACCTACGTCAACATTAGAAAGCGGAGAAGTGATTGAAGGGGAAGAAGTAAACAGTGGTTTAGTTAATAATCATACTCCTAGTCCTGTTACAATTTCTTTGTCAGGAAGTGGCACCGGGCAAGCAACCGTACAAGGCGATAATAGAAATGGTGGTTATTCAATAAGAAAATCATATGGAAATCGACATGCGGGGTATGGTGGTAATAATAGTGCACAACGAGCTGTCTTTGATGGTAAAAGAATGAGAAAAGCTATTCAGAGGAGAACAGTTGATTTCAATTGTTCTATTGGTAAATTTTTACAGGTAATATTCAAAATATTATTTGTTAATTTTGGTTCTGTCAATTACTCGAGTGAACCTTTTTTATAATACAGGATCGAATTTGGATACGAGATCAAAGAGATATGAAGTTTCTGCGGCCAAAACCAAATTTTATTATAGATGTAAGCAATGAGTTTTTACATTTCTGCTAATAATATTTTTTTTCGTGTAATGTAGGATATCAAAATAGATTTATCGTCTTTTATGTAGCTTCTTCCACCATCTGCATATTTACATAACCCAGTAAATGCAGTTGCAACTAAATATGTTCACACATCAACAAATAAAAATCGATATCCTGTCAATGTTGTTCGAGTAAGTAAATTATATCTTGTTCTGGTGAGGTAATTAAGAAAAGAATAATGATCAATAATATACATCTAAAATGCTTAAAGTGGACACCTGAGGGCAGGCGCCTAATTACAGGATTATCTAGTGGAGAGTTTACGTTATGGAATGGATTAACATTTAACTTTGAGACTATTTTACAGGTATGTATTAGTTCTATTCTACTTTTGTCCTTTTACATAAAAATTGCTTTTTATATGGTCTTAAGGAACGGAAGATTGGGCTATAGGATAGATAGTACAGCAGAAGTAGCGTGACAAATTTGTTTTTTTGGCTCTGATGTAATCTTATAAAAAATAAATTAAATAAAAATTATTACATCAAGTCTTAGTTAATCGTTTTTACAAGAAGTGTTTTTGGCCACAAGTCTTTGGCCTATATCGAATATTTAGTGATTAATTCCCCTTTAATTATCGATAGAGATTAGCATAATAGAATAGAATAAAATATTAAGTGATAATGATACAAGAATATTATTTTAATGTATCATTCTTGGATTTCTTTTTTTTCGTTTCCATTGTTTATTTGCATTATACAACAAAGATGAATCAAACATAAATTTACCATCTTACATTTACATTTTTCCTATTGCTCTATGTTGATCTTGTGACAAAATTTATTCATTGTTTAATAAGGCCCATGAATCAGCAGTTCGAACGATGAAATGGTCCCACAACGATAACTGGATGGTAACAGCTGATCACAAGGGTGTCATAAAGTACTGGCAATCCAACATGAATAATTTGAAGATGATTGAAGGTCATAAAGAAGCAATTCGAGATTTATCGTGCGTACTTTAAAAACGTTTTTACGTTTGTCAAACCCTAATTTAGCTATACAAAAATTGATGATTTTATTATACGGTTTAACCTTTGATATATAATAGTTTTGCTCCTACTGATACAAAGTTTGCAACTTGCTCGGATGATGGAACCATTAAAATATGGGATTTTAATGAGGGCATTGAAGAAAGAGTTTTGTCTGGTTTGTTTGCTTTTCTATCTACAGCAAAACTTTAATTTCACTAAATCTTAACAAATAAATTATTTAATTGATTAGGTCATGGATGGGATGTTAAATCTGTTGATTGGCATCCGCATAAATCGCTTTTAGCATCCGGATCAAAAGATAATTTAATTAAATTTTGGGATCCTAAATCGGGGAAAAGCGTCTATACACTGTATGTAACAATATAATATGAATATATTGATTTCTTTCAAGTATAACTAATGCTATGCTATAAATTTTAAGTCATGGGCATAAAAATACAATCCTTGGATTGCAGTGGAATAGAAATGGAAATTGGCTAGGAACAGCTGCCAGAGATCAATTAGTTAAGGTTTATGATATTAGGATGATGAAAGATTTACAAACGTTTCGTGGGCATAATAAAGAAGTTTGTTGTGAGTGTTAAAATTTAAATCTGAATGACATTGGTATAATTTAAAACATTAGTTAAATATATGATTTTATAGTTCCAACGGCTATTTCATGGCATCCATTTCACGAAAGATTATTAGCAACTGGTGGTTCAGATGGGTGCTTGATGTTTTGGATTGTAGGGTTAGTTTTGGTTTCATTGTAATATAATAGTGATAAAATTTTGTACAAAATTTGGCAACATTCTATTTATTCTTATTAGTCAAGATACTTTGGTGGAAGCAGTGGAATTCGCCCATGATCAAAACGTTTGGTCACTTGATTGGCACCCTCTTGGCCATATATTGGTCTCTGGATCAAATGACCATTCAACAAGGTTTTGGACGAGAGCACGTCCTGGAGATACAGTTCAAGACAAGTATCATGTGGGTAGGCAGAAAGCCGAGGAACTCGGATTGAAAGATGTAGATAGTGACGAAGGTATTTTTAGATTTTTCGTTTTATTTGGTTGATATTTTAGATATTTAACAAATTTTACACTAATTCTACCTATTAGATGATGATCCTGTCCCAGGTTTAACATTCTTTAATGGTGGCTTGATGAGTGGCTTTCTTCCAGTTCCTATGAATCCTCATCCCGCGGTTAGAGCAGATTTCGTTCAAGCACCACAGTCATTAGTACAAATGGATCAAAGCCAAGATCTCACACCACCTAGACCAATGGATATTGGAGACATTTCTTATGTATCTACAAGTAGTGTCAATATTGAAGATGTACCTGGACTTGGAATGTTACGTAATAATATACCGTCGAATCCTTCACCACAACTACGCCCTCAATGGACAGTACCAAATATTGGACCTACACCGAGACCCAGTACACAGCAACAGGGACAGCGTTGGGGTGGGCAAAGAGATGGGGGATATCCAGGGTTGCGACCCAAACCTTTTTTTGAATCGTGACACTATTACATGGTTTGGATAATAAATATACGTCCATTCTTAGTCAATAGTATCAAATTCAAAAATCAATCAAATTTGTTAAATCAATGCTATAAATTATTAAAACTTTGTTATTTTTATTTTCAAACTAAAGAATTTAAGAAGGGTTTAACGACTAAGCAGGATATATTGAATAAAATTTTATGTTAGATCAATAATTATATCAAATATGCATACAATAAGTGAGAAACAATTATAGAATGAAAGCTTTTTAACATCCAAAATAAAATTCGAATTGTAA